AGCAATAGACTCTCTGAGAAACAACTTAACAAAGGTATCCAGAGGGAGCTCGTGGTCTTGCTGGTCTTAAAAACAGAATACCAAGGAGTCCAAGGCAGCTGTGTCCCACAGGCCGTTCGTTCGCACGGCGCCGGCGTGGGCAGCCGAGATCTGAACGGCTTACAATCAGCAAGATGCTGTCAACACCCAAGTAAATTTTTAATGACAGTAAGAATGGCGTCTATTCCTCACAATTTTGCAATCGCCACTTAAGAAAGAGCTGATTTGTCAATCTGTTTTTCCTTTAACCAAAGCCCAAACACCTAACAACCATAGACTTAAAAAAAAAAAAAAAAGTGGATCGCGTTCACTTATCAAATAAACACAGTCAGAGTAGAGAGCTATGGGCAGAGCGCACCCTGCACAAGTGCACCCAAGGGCGGGCGAGGCAGGAGCAAGCGACCCGCCTGGCCCCCAGCAATTTCTCCCCGCATCAACCGTCAGGAGCACCCAGGAAGGACCTCACGCGTGGGCAGACCCAGCGGCTCCTGTGTTTTCCCAAGACGTGAGCCCCTTTGCCAGCACTGCCAACTCCTTTTCACAAACCAAAGCTGATGCCGGTCAGTTTCACTCCTCTGCCCCAAATCTCCCACCTGGCCGGTTTTTTCCCCCCAGTTGTTCTGTCCCCCCCCTTACCAAATCTCTAGGAGGAAGCCTCCCATCCCCCCTCCCTTCCGGTCTCCTGTCTGCCTACTCTTCGGCGTGGGAAGACCCCTGGGCGGGCGAATGGGGGAGTCCAACCGATCTGGGGAGATGCCCGGGACGCGCCAGGCGCCTCATGGTCCAGGACTCTAATAAACAGGGAACATTCTGCCGACTGCCCTGGGCCTCCTACAACCAGGAGGAGCCTTTGGATTAAAAGGAAGAAACCGGCCACCTTTATTTTGTGCGCTCACGTCATCCCATCGGAATTCAGTGACAGCAAGAATGATCATCATTTTTAACACAGCACTGTTTGCTTTATAAAGGAGAGGTTTTGCAACAAATTAGCTGTCTTTCAAAAGGACTTGTTCACCCTCCTCTGCTTTTCAACTGGGTCCTTGTGGTTTTTTTTCTCAAAAATCTCTAGGCCAGCACAGGCGTTTGCCATAGCAGTCACCCTGCCCACCATGGGATGCCTGCACCCCATACCACAGTGCCTGGGTTTGAGTCCTGTCCCTGCTTCTGTTCCAGCTCCCTGCTAATGTGCACCCTTGAAGGCAGCCAAGCACTGTGTCCCTGTCACCCTCGTGGGAGACCAGATGGAGAGGCAGGCTCCGGCTTCAGCTGCCGTGGGTACTTGGGAGTGAACCTGAGGGTGACCGATCTGTCTCCTTCTGTCTGTCACTCTGCCCTTCAAATAGCAAGAATCTCTTCGGTCATAACCCAGACTAGAACAGCATCACAGGACGCCCCGCAGCCCCAAGCTCCAACACCTACACACAGACAGAAACAGGCTCCCAGCGGGCTTGTCGCCTGGTCTTCAGGAACGCACTTCACAAACCAGAACGGGAAAAATGACTCAGACGACTCGGAGGGGCCCCGTCATTAGTTTCTTACTGAGGTCTCCCCCCCCACCCCGGCCAAGACATTAATACCCACGACGTATGTGTGCGTGCTGTTGTAGCTACGCCCCGCTTTTTAAACGGAGAGGTTTCCGAGAAACTAACTTCCCTCCGAATTCTAAGCCACTGCCATTATCACCACAGAATGTGTGCGCCCCAGCGCTCCGGCCGCGAAAGGTCTGTCCACTCAGGGATCACAGACGCGCTCCTGGCCCTGAGAAGTGGCATTTGGAGATGGAAGGTCAATCTCGCGGCTGATTTCTGCCTTGGAGAGTTCCCGCCTCACGCCGTGCTCCGCGCACACGCCCTCTGCTCTGTGCCCAGGCATTCGCAGGCACGGCTGGCACGTCCAGGTAAACAGGGGCGGGCACACCGAGAGGCCTGGGGCCCCTGGGCAAACAGCTGTGCAGAGCCCAGCGGCCACGCCGGGCTTCGCTGTGGTAAGGCTCGACGCAGGATTCCAAGAATTCCACCTGTTTCCAATTAGATACCAGAATTGCTTGAGTGTTTAAACTACATCCACTTGCTACTTATACAAAACAATTCTTCCGGGTTTTTTGAACATTTTAAATATGTTAAAATAAGATTAAGGGTCTGGTTTAAACAATCAGAGGCAGAGAAATTTCAGCTGAAACCAAAACTCACTCACTCACTCACTCTCTCTCTCTCTGATAACGAAGAGCTTCAGACAAAACAGAAGGTCTGGATAGGCAACTGTCTGTTGTTGACAAGGACTAATAGAAATCAGACTGTGCAGAGGGAGAGCAGCATTTCAGACAGCGAGACGGAAAGTGATTCGAGATCGGGTTTAGGCGAGCCCCACAAGGCCCGACGTCCGGCACGTTAGCGTGACTTCCACCGGAACGTCTAACTGGCGTTCCTAACGTGGGTCAGATACACCTGCCTCATAAGTATGCGACACTGACGCGAGCCGCACGTGGGAGCCGCAGCACGGGCAGGAAGTTAGCCTCCCTCGCTAGGATTTCTTCATACAATGAATTTCGCCTTTAAAAAACCATGTGCCCGTTCTCCACCAACACGCTCGTCCTTCCTTCTCTGCACGGGGGGTTTCCTTGGCTTTACCAACGAGCTGGAACAGTCTGGGTTTTCCTAACCCTAACCTCCTTTTCCCTTCCAGGAGGTAGAACCTCTGGACGGCCTGGGAAACAGTTCTGATGGCTCACTGCTACTGGCGCCCCCCCCCGGGGGGGGGGCAGAGGACAGAGCACAAAGCACCGTGTCTGTGGCTCGCACCAGACGGACACCAGGAGGGTCTGGGGCAGGTCTGGGGCTCGGCGGGGTCAGCCACCAGCATTCGCAAGGTTAGCTGGGTAGATCAGAATGACTGTAATGTCTGCGGGCACTGGGCTGGTTGCCCCCTTTCCAACTTTCTCATGCTGGCTAACAACTGACAGACCACCGTACACAGAACAGGAGACACAGGCCAGGGGTCTCCGGGAGCCAACTGCATTAGGAGCTGTGGCACTAACTCAACACCCCTTCTACTGCCTGCATCATTAAAGATGTCTAGTTTCACACAGGCAAAACAAAACAAAAAAATCAACTGACAAGGACCCCCTCCCACCACCAGTCTCAAAGACATTGACATTGAATAACTAAAGAAGAAGAAAAGAGGGGAGCAGGCGGCAGCCCAGTTTGCTTACTCATTTTGTACTACATGGGATATTTTCATTACAACGGACGCCTGAGCACACACACTCCCCGGGTGGGAGTAAGCCAAAGAAGCCAGCCGCCGCCGGTTTTGAGGTTCACTTTTGCAGGGGCTCTTTCAAGGGGAAAGTGCCCCTCCGCCCCCCACCGCCTCTCCTAGAAATAACGCTAGGGCAGGAAGCCAGGCGGGGGCAGGCCCCGTCCCCAGGAGTCCAAAGTCTCACCAACGAGCAGAATAACATGGGCTTGTTTAAATTTCTACAGTGGTGTTGTTCTTATTTAAAGTTGGGGGGGGGGGGGAGTGTAGGTGAAGCCTGGTTCTGTACACGCGTCTGGGGTAGGATAAAAACTTGTCCAACTTGTCCTGGCAAGGCCACACAGCTGCAGCTTCCACACCGCAGACCACCGGGACGCAAAGGGGAACGAAACTGGGCACCCGGCACCCCGACGGCAGCGGGCGGAGCAGGAGAGAAACCCCGGGCGCAGCAGCCCCAGGTTGCCGCCGGGCTGGCTCTCTCACCTGGCTCCGTCGAGCCGAGACTCAGCCTCTTCCCAGCCCACGCGGGGCTCTGCGGGCAACCCGATCCCAGCACGAGGAGGGCTGGAAAAATGAGAAGAGCCTGAAAACTAAGGACTTCTCACTCAAACGGCAGCCCGCCTGCGGGGAACAGAGGGGACACTGAACTAGACACCAACCCGGAAGGCCTCCCGGGGGCCCCGACCGGCCTTCAACCTGAACTCTGGCGTTCCACACCCAACTCAAGTTTCCAAACACGCCACGCAGCGGCCCCAAGAAACCACTGGAGGCCAGACCAGGAGGAGAATGATGCTCGGATAAACGCGTTTTGCTTCGGGGGTGTTGTCTGAGTTTTTTCTTATTTATTTATTTATTTATTTATTTATTTATTTATTTATTTATTTTGCAAGCTCAACATAAAGTTCACTGAAATAAGATGCCCAGGGAAACTTTGAATCAAATCTGAGAGCCACAGTTCAGGGTTCCCTGAAGAAGAGGCAGACCCCGGTGGGGTGTTACAGAGTTTGTGAAAAAACCTGTTAACTCCCCGCAAACCGAGCCAATTCCCAGGCCTTTCTTGCTAGGACGCTTAAAAAAGAAAACTTCATTGATACGAAGCCAGGATGTCACATTTTGGGACACAGAGGGCAGAAAGAAAAAAAAAATCAAGGTTTGTCTCTTAAAAACTCCACAACGGGTTTTACAGTGAGCACAGGAATTAAATTATGGTAAAAGGGAGCTATTTTTACTAAAACAGGGTAGACCAATTTATCAAAAATGCCATTCAGCTGTGTTCTTTACAGTCCGGAATCTAATTTACACAATAGACACTTTGGAGTAATCCATTTTACTCAATAAATACTCAGACTCCTTTAAGTTTCAGTCTTATCGGAAATGCATATTTCACATAGTCTTCTTGCTCGTTAAGCGAGAAATCCCAGGAAATTTCACAACGACCACGAGCCTGCCTTATCGTTCTTACGTGGACACGGGGGCTGGAGCAGGCGCCAACAATTAAAGTTGCCGGCCTCCGCGTGTGCGTGTCAATCCGCTCCGCTCCACGCGAGCCTGCCTCTGCTTTACTCCCAAAGGTCACCGCCACCAGCCAAGTTCAGCCAAGTTTACGCACGTCTGTCTCCCAGCGGCGCGCAGGAGCCCTCTCCCAGGGACACTGCGGGACCCCCGCCTTCCCCACCCCCGCCCTCGGCGCTGGCCCCCGCGCCGCTCACCTTCAACTTGGCTCCGGCTACGCACAACATCCACCCGGCAGAGTCCCGGGGCAGTCCAGGCACGGCCGGCGCGGAGCTGGCACTCGGGGGGCCAACCCCGAGGGCGCGCCGCTCCTCTGGCTGGGGGGTGACAGGCAGGAACGCGCCCCCCGGGCACGGCGGCGGCGGCGAAGCCGGGGGACAATCCTCGCGCGGCGCCTGGGGCTCGGCGCCCGCATCCCCAGCCGGCACGCCACAGTCCAGCGGGGGCCCCGGGGCTTCGCTTTGGAGAACCGGAGCCGAAGAGGCACCACGGAACGGCCCCACCACGCGCTCCATTGCGCCTGCAGGACAGGGCAGGACCCCCGAGGTCACTAGGGCCGTTGGAGCCGGCTGGCAGGCGGTGAGGGCCACCCGGACCCGCGGCCGGGAGGAAGCGCCCCTCGCCCGGCACCCGGCGCGCCGGGGCGCAGCGCGGGGCCTGCGCTCTGGGAAAGTTGCAGCCCCGCTCCTCGCGCCGGCACCCGCGCCCGCCGGGCGGTCCCGGACGCCGCGACCCCGCCACACAGCGTGCGGGAAGCCCCTGCTGCCCCGCGCCAAGTTTCCCCGAAGCGCCCCCGCGGGGGTCCCCTGGTCGCGCAGGGGCAGGTCCGCGCCACTCGCGCAGGCACACAAAAGAGCCGGGCGGACCGAGGGATCCGCGGGTGGCCCCCGGGTGCTCCCCCGGACGTAAACAAACCCCGGGGTCCGTGCGGCCAGCCACGCCGGGCGCGGGCGCGGGGGTGCGGCAGGGGCCGCTGACAGCCGGGAGCGGCGGCCGGGCCCCCGGGCCGGCCGGCCGGGGCAGGGAGCGCGGGCGCCCGCCCGGCCACCCGCCCGCCTGGCCGGAGCCGGGCCGCGCCGCCGCCGCCGCCGCCGGTGGCCGCTCTGACCCTCCCCCGAGCCGGCGGCACCACAGCGCCACCAGCCCCAGCTCCGCCGCGCCGGCGGCAGTGGCGGCGGCGGCTCCTCCTGGAGAGGCAGGCGCTTCACCCCCCACAGCAACTCCCCGCAAACTTTCCCCGGGAATACGGCGGGGCCGGGGGCGCGGGGCGCGGGCGGGCGCCGCCGCCGCCGCCGCCGCCGCCGCCGGGCCGCAGCCCCCTCCCGGCGCCCGCCGCCACCGCCACCGCCGCCGCCCGCCGCCCGCCGCCCGCGCCCCGCTCGCGCGCGCGCGCCCCGCAGGCCGCCGGGGCCGCCCCCTCCCCGGTCCCGCGGCGGCGGCGGTGGCGCTGGCGGCGGCCGCGCAGGGCCCGGGGGGGCGCCCCGGGTGGGGGCAGACACCGGGGGCAGCGGTGGCGGCGGCGGCTCCCGGCGCCATCTTGGGCTGATCGATGAATTGAACAAAGAGGATCAATTTCTGATCAAGCGAGTTATCAATGGGGGCCGGGGAGCGAGAGGGACTTGTCCCCGACTCGGCCCCGCTCTCCCCGGCACCCCCCTCCTCCCCGCCGCCGCGGCCCCCCGGCGGCCGGGCAGCCCGGGGACCCCGGGGGAGGCCGCGACCGCCCGCAGCCCCCACCCCCGGGCGAGAGGCCGAGCGAGGAGAAGCCTGACCTGCAGCTGCTGTAAATCAAAGCGCTTCCAATATTGAAACATCGATCCCACATTGGCCGCCATCTTGAGACATATTGAGACGGAGTGAGAGGCTGATAGAGAGGGGGCTGGAGTTCAGGAGCCGCCAGGAGGCAGCAAGCGGGCGGCGCCAAAACCCGGCCTGGAGCCGGCCGCCGCCGCCGCCACGGAGGACGCGGACTCCTCCTCACGGCGCCGCCGCCGCCGCCGCCGCAGCCATGGCGAGCCCGAGCCGGAGCCGGAGTCGCAGCCCGAGGGCGCGGCGGCCGCCAGTCGGCCCGGCGCGCGCGGCCCCCGCCCCCTCCCCCGCGGCGGGCGGGTGCCCGGCCCGCGACCCCCGCCCCTCCCGGGCCCCCAGCCCCGGCCGCGGCGGCGGCGGCGGCGGCGAGGGCGGGCGCGAACCCGGCCCCGAGGGGGCGCTGGAGGGCGGCCGCGCGACGCCGGGCCCCGCTCACCTGAGGCGCGCCGGGGGTCGCGGGGGTGCGGCGGCCGCAGGGACCCCCCCTCCCCCTCAACTTGGGGCCCGCCGGCCGCAGCGCGCGGAGCCGCCGCGACCACCTGCCCGGGCCCCTGTGCGAGGGGCGCGCTCGCCGCGGGCGTCCCGGCGGGGACTCCGCCGCTAAGGCGACGGGAAATTTTTAAGTCTTGGGGCATTGGGGTTGCGGGGAGAACCGGCCCTTGTCCCCCTACTTGGTCGCTGCCCGCGTTGGTGCCCCGCACCCGGGCCGCGCGGTCGCGGCGTCGCCCCGGGAGACAGCGGCGGGGCTGCAGGGGGTCCCTGCGCCCCCCCCAGCCCGGCGGTCGCGGCTCCCGTTTAGGCCAAGACAGGAAAAGTCTTGGCAAGGCTCGCGGTCTCGAGGGTCCCCGCACCGCTGCGGCGGGACAGCCTTCGCAGCCCACTGCAGAGAGCTGCCTGTGCGCGCACCGACTGGGAAAGTGTGGGCTCGCTCCCTGGCCCCAGAAAGCGTGCTCCCAAGTTTACAGAAACCCCAGCGTTTAAGCCTCCCCCCCCCCAAAAAAAAAAACCAATTCCCTTTTGATTTCCTTCTTCCCAGAAACCTGGCCAATAAAAAAAAAAAAAGCCCACGTTTTGCGATCGTCGTGTTTAATTGATTACACACACGTGTAATTCTCCCGCACTTCATTTAACGTGTAATTAGTTAAAACAAATCCCCAAATTCCTTAATCTTGAAAATTATATGTAAATAAACTCTGCACCCGATGCAAAAATAAAACATGGAAGTGGGAACTCTAACTGCTTTTCGGGCGAGTATCGAGGGTTTTAGCGTCCATGCGTGGAGCGTGCGGGGAACAGCCGCGTCCCCAGATCTCGCCTCGGCGGGCTTCTTCCAGGGGAGGCCCCTGAGCTCCGGAGGGGGCGGGGTTCACTCTGCGCCCGCACCCCTCGACCCCACTCCCAGCACCCCTGACTCCAAGCAGGCGCAGGGAGCAGGTGGGTGGGAGCGCGCGGGAGCCCCAGACTCTGCGCGCTGCGTGCGGGGGCCGCGGGCCGCTTGGGTGCGGGGCGCCGGCCGCCGCGCTGCAGCTCCGACCGCGCCGCCCAGCAGAGGGCAGCGGCGCCCCGGCTACTCGGGTCCTCGGGTCGCGGGCGCACGTGCCACCCGCGCGCCCCAGGCCCCGCGCTGGCCACGCCCTGTCCCGGAGCCGGGCTCCCTGCGGGAAGCGGCGGCGGAGCCCCCACGCCTTCCAATCCCGCTTCTTGGCCTCGCCGGCCCACGCTTGGGGGCAGTTTGCTAGCTGCTCGCATGCGTGCGGTGGCAGGCAGGCGAGCCCTTAGGAATTACCCGGAAGGTGCTTAGACAAAATGTGCAGGAGCTTTAAAAAAAGAAAGAAAAAAAAAAAAAGAAAAGAAAAAAAAATTCCCTCCCGTGGGGAAGAATCAGGGGAATGGTTTGGATTTGGTGCAGATGTTTTCAATCTAATTATCGTGTCGATCCCCTGGGTTTGAACCAAAAAAGTGAAATATATATGACCTGTGTAATACTCCAGAAGTACATCTGGTTGGAATTCAGGGTTTTGAATCCATGGCAATATTTTAAAAATAAGTTTGACGACTATTAAATATTCTTGTTACATTTCTGGTTATGTTTATATTATTTACATGCTAGAGAACCATGTAGAGAAAGCCTGCATCGAGTGGCCTGCGGATTGAAGTCTCTTTAAATAAAATTTAGATCACTCCTACCCAACTTTTGGGTTATAGAAGTCTTGCCGTCCACAGTCAGGGGGAGAGGCGTGTTGAGCCTGCGTTTACCAGCCACACAAAATATTACCGTGTTAAAATTCACACAAGCTAAATCGCTGATCAAAAATTATGCTGAGTGAAGTAATCTGTTTTTAAAAAAAAAAAAAAAACTTTTAAAGCTACGTTGTCATCTTCTTGAGCAAGTGCATAAACTAGGAGCAAGTCCCATCTATCCTATTTCCTTTTCTTTCCTTCTTTTCACGTCGACGCTCGGCCTCAGCATTGCCAAAGCTTGAGGGCCCACTGATCCGCAGAGAGAGGGGCTCCACGCTCTGTGTGCTGTGCTAAACACTGAGAAGATGGGAAGGTTTTAGGACAGAGATCCCCACGGGCACCTCCGAAGATAAAGCAGTCATCACCGTGGCCTCCCAAAACACTGTGTTAACTGAGTCTCCTTAGGATGGAGCACAGCCCCAAGGTGTGTGGTCACTTTGTGCGGCCACTTTTTGACTTTCAGGTTCTCCCTTTAGGGGAAGAAAGCTCACGGTCCCCTCAGATATGGGGACCACTGCCACCACGAGCTTCCAAAATCTCGGTCCACCGAGATGCTGTTTGTATCTTTAACTGAGATACAGCTTAGCACCAAATAAGGCAACGAAATAATACAGGAGCCAGAATCGCTCATGTTCTTTTCTCACTCATTTTATTTTGTCTAAAAAGAGAGAGAGAAAGAGAGGGAGAGGGGGCACATTGGGGGTGTGATCGTACTAATGTAACTTACAGAAAACTGTAAAGTACTTTGGAGAGCTTACTCCTCCCCCTGCTGCTGAGATGGGTGGGTTCTCCTCTCTCTTGGCATCTACACTCTATTTACTGAAGACGCTAAGGGGAAAGTTAGCAAATTCGCCAAACTATCGAATGTGTAGCTTATTACTACATTGATCTTCCTTTGATAGCCCCAAGAAAATGAAACCCAATGAGTCATTTCCTAAAGATTCAAATGTAGCCATTCTTCTGATACACAAACCTGACTCCTTAAAGGAACCGACCACCAAGAATGTCTCCAGAATTGGAAAATGCCCTACGCTGTAAGGCTTTATTTAATAAATAAATAAATAAATGCCCTCCCTGTATCCTTCATAGGCGAGTCTTTAGGTTCTTATATCGTATTTTAAATAGACACCAAAATTTAAAAAATTCAGTTTCACCTCCGAACTATCTCCAGGAAAAGTTAGGGAATAATCCAGAATTTTGACCCCACTATAAAGAAGGTGAAAAATATGGAAATCTTGTAACCTGTGTGATTGGCTTCAAGGGAAATGTCAGGACATTCTTTGTAAAACTCTGGCTGTGTGCTATGCAAACACCCAGAGAATAAAAGTACTCATTTTGTTACATGCTATCCCACCTACAGGACATAGTTCATTACTATGCCCACATGCAGGTGTAGTTTGTTTCATTGTAGCATTTTCTGGATACATTTTAGATCCGAATTTAGATCTAGTTTCAAATAGTTTCCAACAAGAAACATTTCAGACCCCCCAGGGGAAGCAATACCTAATGCTAAAGGTTTCCATCATCGCTTATTCACAAAGATGTGGATATTTGGACTCAAGGCAAAAAAAAACGAATTCTGCTGACACCTTTAAACGAAACACAGTTTACTAAGTCAGATGGGGAATTTCAATTTTGCAAGAACAGAAGTTCCAAATTGTATCCAGGTCTTTACTCAGGGACACTGGGCTTAAATTTAGGACTAGCTGAATGAAGCCAGACCGAAGTTTTGAGCCACTTTAGATTTGAAAAGATCTCTTCCTTACATCAAGAGATTATGAATAACAGGGAAATTACTCTTCCTTTTGTGTTCGGGCAACCGGGGCGAGTACCTTCCAGAACCGTTTGGCACAGAGTATAGGAATAAAGTGAAGGAAGATTCTAGATTCTTTTATTTATTTATTTATTTTTGAGCTCAAGGAAACCAAACTACTCTTAATTGTCTTGTTTTTTGAATAATGCTTTATG